TAAAATACCATATTGTAAATTCTCCAATACCATCATGCCCGATAACTAGATGAGGAAATTTTGGGATCTTCTTCAGTTCGATGATGCATGATGATATGCAAGGATTTGCGAGTATAGTGAATTCTTCGGTAGGACCCCTGCAAATTTAAAAGAAGTGAACATTAGCAGAGCGTTCAATGATGATCCAGCCTGCCTCTCCACACAAAAGAATGATCTGATAACAATTTTAAGAGAAGAGCAATGAACTCTGATGAGAGCACCTCCATTGTGAGTCCATGGCCCAGACAATAAGGTTTCCACTTTTAACAACTGCGATGAGATAGTTAGGTTCGCACACCACCACGCACTGCACACTGTCAACAGCTTGAAGTTTTGTCACAAGAGAGACATGACCAGTTTTCACCTGGACAATCCTCACTTCATTCTCTTCAAAGCAGGCTGATGTACAAGTCAAACACGAGCAATCAATTTCCTTCTTCCTGCGGAATTATAAAGAGTAACCCCTTAGCTGATACATTAATTATGTACCCCTGTACGGTATAAATCAGTAGAGAGAAGTCCGAACCTGCAATAAGGTGTTTTGATGTTGCCAGTGAAAATAAGATGCTCCCCATCTGGAGTGAAATGCAAATAAGATCTTTCGAGTGTTCTCTGAGGAAATGTAACAACTATCAGGTAAATAAAAAACAAGATATGGTAGTAATCATGCAGTTTAACAGAAGAAAGGAAACAAAATTAGTGAACTTACATTTCCACCATATTTGTTATCCACAATGGGAAGTATGGCAGGTGTGTGACCAACAACAAAAGGGATTCCTTTGGTTGGTCCTTTAGCTGATATCTTGTACATGAACAGGGTTCTAACTCTATCTTCTGTGGCAAAGCTCAGCGCACAAATATAGATTTCATTACCAAAAGACTGAAGTGACACTGATGAAACGGGCATGGGATGAAAGTAACAGCCAAGCAGCTCAAAAATTTTCTCCATCTCATTGTTGATCTTTATATCTCTGTTAAGCTTTATATTCAAACCAGATGGACATTCCGGCACACTGGAGATGCTTTTCTCGCTGGTATTTTCTTTATACTGAGACTTTGTAGCAGGTGGTTCAGAGACTTGGACCCCCAATGCCTCACCAACATGGACTTGTAAATTCTCAACTTTTGAAGCTGGAAATGAGGATGGTGATATACTTGCATTTCCAAATCCTTGAAATGGCCTCATATCTTGTGGTACAAGAGACGCCTCGTTGATTAATACATCGGTGAATTTGTTGTTATTCACCTTCGTTAACTCAGGACCCTGGTATTGTTCTATTACATGACCGCTTCCCTCTCCCACTGGATTTGCTCTATCTGATACAGAGTTGGTAGACAAAGGCAACTGAAGCTCCAAGATACGTGGAGTTTTAATAGGAGACATTTTGCTCAGAGAATCACCATCTCCACTGTTCCTGCAACTGTTTGTACTTACAGAGGATGAATTTCTGTTTCTTCTCTGTTGATTGGATGAGACTCTTTTTCTGCTATAAACCTTATGTTTTTCTTGTCCGATAGAGCCAACTTCAGTAGGGGTAGTGCCAACCACAAAACCGTTACCTGCAGGCAATTGGACAGTAGACAGATAAAGTCATGGAAAGAATTTTGGGGGTGATGGAGGCAAATGGTGATATTGATAGATAACTTACTACCTTCACCAGAACAACATGTGCTCTTTGGTTCCTGGTTTTGAGAGAGGTGTTCTTTTTGTAACAAGCTTCTTTCTGCTGCACAGAGTTCCTCAGATTCTTTGAACAAAATCATGCTAGTTGAACTGGTGGAGTGTGGCAATGACATGGACTTCTTCAAACATTCATCTTGATTATTTTTTTCCAAAATAGTACTAACATCATGTGAAGACGGGCTTATGTTCTCAGTAGTCTCCAAAGCAGAAATCGATATATTTGCATTTACTATTGTAACCTGGTTCTCGATGATGGGCATTTTGGGACGTTCTGCTGGAAAGGTTTCCTTAGAAGAAGAGATGGTATGACTGCTCTCAGAAACATCCATGTGAGACTCATCAAAACTGTCAGGAGCAATGGACACATTATTTGTAAAATCCTGAACAGAATCTGGAGCAACGAGTTGCATGTTCTCATCATCTCCACTACAAGTTCTTGTAGGTAGTGACACAGCTGCAAATTTTGAAGAGGAATTATGGGATATGGGATAAACGAATACTTTAGAAATCATAGCTTTCGCGCAACAATATTGCGCATCTCAATCTAAACTATACTATTCAGGCATTTTGTAGGGGAAAGTATACCAGCTCTTGAAGCATCATCAAGTTGGCTCGTTTGGCAGTTGTTTAAGCGATTTGATTTGCATGATACTGTTCCTGACAAATCATTCTTTTTGGCCTTCTTGCTTGATGCTTTCTTGAGTAGTGGAATTACTTGAGGAATTAGAAGTGAGATCATTGAACTGGCAGTATTTTGCTCAGCTGAATCAGAGTCAATATTTTTAAAAGCCAGTAAACCAGATTCAGCTAAATCTTCTGCATTTGGTTCAGGTAAAAGCTCTTCATGAACTACCATGTTAGCAAGGGTCAATTCTTCTTTTTGCTCGCAACTTGTATTATCTTCCACTTTTGGAGCAGAACTTATGGTGTTATCTGCAAGAATCGGACAAACATGAATCCAAGAGAAGATGCAGTCATAATGATTACAATCTTCTTGCAGCTAGAAGTTGACATCTTGGGTAGTAAACAAGTTTACAAGAAGAGTGGAAAGCCATTACCTTGCAGGGAATCCAAGGTATCTGGTACACAAAGATTGGAACCAGCTCTCTTTTGGCTCTCCTGCAGAAAAATATCATTGTCGGGTTTCTTTTCCTTTTCTTGCAACCCATGAAGCTGCAACAAATATAAGATCTTTCTTTTTAAAAACCACTTTCCTGGAGTAAAACTTCACCGGTCTACTAGGCCAAAATAACAAAGAGAAAACTTTCCAGGAGTATACTAGAAATTCTTTATGGATAGAAGATAACCCTGAATGGATTACCTCTCCAAAAATTCTGGATAATGGCTCTGATTTACAGCTGTCAGGAAGCAGGTCTGTTTCTTGGATAGGGAAGACTACTTTCACTTGTGGTAGACTTTCTGATGGTAGATATGAATTTTCGTTAGCAGCCTGACTAGAATGCAACTGCTCTGGTGGTGCTCCTTGTAGGCCAATTATCTCCACTTCTCCTTTTGCTGAACAGATTGACACTGATGCTAAATTTAAATTCTCGCCACCAGAAAATGAGTCTTGCAATCTTGGCTTTTTATGGCCATCTTTAACTACTGAATTCTGGTCAACTATTTCAGATTTTCTGCTTCTTTTCTTTCTGGCCACTTGCCTGTCCAGATAACATAATAAATTTGGATATGCACACGTGACTGGACATTCATCATCAACCCGGGTTTGAGAGGCCCTACTGCTGGAGCTAGATTTTATCATTCCATGGGGATTGGTCACAAGTTCCCGGAGCATCCTCTGAACCAACGGATTTTTAAAGCCAAAAAACTGCAGCAAGAAAAATCAGTCATCTTAGACAGCAAGTAATTAATTAGACTGATCATAGTGGTAGGATCAGAATTACTACAAGCCAGGTGATTATACTAGTTAACACTGACCAAAACCAAAGAAAGGCCTAAAGCAAAACATTTGTCGACTTCTTAGCTAAAGTAGTATGGCTTTTCCTATGTATCAATTCAGAATTGAGAAGTCAGAAATGCAAGGATTATAAAGAAAGCGTAAAATGACAAAAGACAGGCTGTATTTTTAGCAGTAGAAGATTCCTTATAAGGATAATCAAAAGGCATGATCACAGTTTATAGATCCCCACATTTTAATTGTATCTTCTAAATCCGTTTAGAGGGAAGCTAATTATACTATATAATGATCCATGACTTAAACAAAATGCAGATTCTAATCCTGCCTGTATTTATGTGACCAACATGTGTACTTCAAAAGCTTCACCAGATTATCTCAACGATATGCAGGCATTTTTGAAAGGGAATGGCGGTTTAATTCTGAAACACTACTTCACTGTAGATTAGAGTAGGTTATAACAGTGTAACATGTAAGATGGTCTAAAGAGGTAACAAAAAGGAACTGAGATGTACCTCCATGCCGTTCATCTTACATGTAAATCGTTTTCCGTGCCATATTTTTAAGTTGGAGAAGCCCATCTTCTGGAACTTTCCCCATGCAATCTCTGGAGTCTGCCCAGTCCATGATTCAGCCAAATATCTAATCTGCATTGACAGAGTAAGACTCTGCTGCATTCTAAAAAAAACAATGAACAATCTTCTAAGATTTTTATGGAATCAGCAACACACCAGAAATAAAGGTCCTTTGGCACCTTCTTCAATCTCGATATAGCATGTGTTCCCATTGTGAACTCGGAAAGCTCTGTAGCCCACAGGATAAGGGAAACGATCTTTTCCCTGACGAAAAAAGAAGCTAAGTACACAGATATTCTGCATAGACTGATATGCATAAATTGTACCAGAAAAATCTAAGTGTTGTTCAGTAATCGAGAGCACTCAAATCACAAGTTTGCTTATCTTCTTTGATCCCAATCTACATTCTCAGCTTAAGGATCTAGCCTCTTTCCTATGTAAATTCAAAAGCAAAATTGATCAAAATCAGAGACCAAAGTTCAAATCTACTGTTCGTCAGTCCTTAGAGTGAAAAACGTACTGTCAAGTACACAATGCTTATCGAGATTCATTGCATATCACCCGATCGGAAATTCTCAACATGGATTAAATCGAAGTCATCTATTAGTCTCCTTTCCGAAGAAATT